TGATTCAGTCGAAAATTCCGGTGAATGAAATTTATGAGTTGGAGAACAGTTTAAATTTTTCATACGATCGACGACGCTTACCCTTGTGTAATCTGGGTGCCATCAATTTTGGGTACCGCAAATTAACGGGTTCCAAAACGGGTGGCACCCAGGCTATCTCTTGTGTTTAGTGTTTTCTTACATTGTTTCTGTAAACACCTCAGCCACAGTAAACCAACATTAAGCCATTGGAAACAACATCCCATCATTTTGTGCCGTTCCAGCCCAATGCAAGCCAGTTCACATGCAGATTCAGACTTTACTTCCAATGATATAGCGCTAGAAGGTACACGAATAAAATCAATACATTTGTATTACCTAAAACGCGTCATTGATTACAAAGCCGCCGTTCAAATCCAAGTATTTCATTCATAATACATTATAAAAGTCAGAGTAATATCAACTAAACTATTTACAAACATATTTCTGATGAGAGCGGCAGGCACGCATATGAGCGTGTGTTAGCTAAGAGAAAGAGAACTCATTGCGAGGATTACAAGTAAAAATGTGGAGTTTTAACATTGTGATTTCCACACTATTTTTACAAGAGTCATTTGTGTAAAACGGCCCCTAAGGCAACGAAACCTACAGTGGACCTCACTGGAAGACAGAAGAAAGATGTCCAGACTATGCATGATGTACAAAATGAGTAATAAACTGGTGGATGTCCCAACTACTAAGTACCTAATACCAGCCCAGAAGAGAACAAGAAATAGCCATGCATTCAAGTACCAGAGTTATCAACCAAGGATTGAGGTGTTCAAGAATTCATTCTTTCCTAGAACTATCGCAGGGTGGAACTCACTGTCACCAAGTACAGTAGGGGCATTGTCAATAGATAGCTTTAAACAATGTCTAGAGCTAGAAGTTCAAGGGTTAGGTATAACAAGTCGATCGGTGTAATATAGCCAGCTGCCGCCGCGCCGCGTGCCTGCGAAGCTGGTGTGTTACGCCGAAAGGCGGTTATACCGGCTATACAGATACAGATATAGCATGTCAATCATCTGCAACAAAGGAGACGCTGTGATCAAAAGTCTTACTTGTGTAGGAGAACTGGAATCCCTGTTCCGTGACACGGTCGTCAGACACAAACCTCACGAACATTGTGTTAGATGAACTGGCGATGGGATCGATCAACATCCATCCTGTAAAGCTGGAAATAAAAAATAAAAAAATTTTTGGTGCTTAATTTTGAATCCAGATAATTACATAATGATAGTTAATTAGAACCACTAACTTGATGTTTCTTTCCAGTTGTATAACTTTTTAGGTTCTTACATTTGTAAGCGTGGGGCAGTGTCGCTGTCTCCATCGTAGACGTGCAGAATGTCAAAATATTTCTCTGTGTTGAAACTGCTAAACTCTAGACGAATAGTGCTGCCTTCTGGTGCGGTGATCAGCCATTCACAGATCATATCGTTGCCGTAGTCGTTGGGATAGTTCGGTGATGTCACATTACCTCCATTGAGAGTCGTCAGTGTACCTCCACATCCTGGTGTACTGGTCGGACCTGTTGGAGGCTGGGTTGGACCTGTTGGAGGCTGGGTCGGACCTGTTGGAGGCTGGGTCGGGTCTGTTGGTGGCTGGGTCAGACCTGTTGGTGGCTGGTTCGGGTCTGTTGGTGGCTGGGTCGGACCTGTTGGTGGCTGGGTTGGACCTGTTGGTGGCTGGGTCGGACCTGTTGGTGGCTGGGTTGGACCTGTTGGAGGCTGGGTCGGATCTGTTGGCGGCTGGGTCGGACCTGTTGGTGGCTGGGTCGGACCTGTTGGAGGCTGGGTTGGGCCTGTTGGTGGCTGGGTCGGACCTGTTGGCGGCTGGGTCGGGTCTGTTGGAGGCTGGGTTGGGCCTGTTGGTGGCTGGGTCGGGTCTGTTGGAGGCTGGGTTGGATCTGTTGGTGGCTGGGTCGGACCTGTTGGTGGCTGGGTCGGATCTGTTGGCGGCTGGGTTGGACCTGTTAGGGGCTGGGTCGGATCTGTTGGCGGCTGAGTCGGGTCTGTTGGCGGCTGGGTCGGACCTGTTGGAGGCTGGGTCGGACCTGTTGGCGGCTGGGTCGGGTCTGTTGGTGTCTTGGTCGGGACTGTTGGAGGCTGGGTGGGATCTGTTGGCGGCTGGGTCGGGTCTTAATAAAACAAAATAAAAAAAATAAATATTTTACAAGGCAAAGTAACAGTATTAAAGATCCCAAAGCTATTAAGCATCGTCTGGACGGGGGAAGAAAATCAAATACAAATTTTTCCGATTAGTTGAACTATTTTATTAATTACTACAAAAGACCCTTTTACCTTGCAAAACGGATGTGTCAGCTGTTGCCACAAAGACGGTAAGAATCACCATCAGGCTGACGGTCCACCGGCGGAAGCCACGCCTACTGTCCATGTTGGTTTAAGTCACCAACTACAGAACAGAACGCAAAGTTTTTGGTTAAACTTCTGAAAACTGATCGTAGCCTGTGTCTGCACATTTCTGTCACATTGATACAATTTAGCGCGACCCTGTCAATTTCGCAAGGTAGCTTCTACAAAATGATTTAAACGTGCGAAACAGACGTATTTCTGCGCCTTTTTTAAATCCATGGGGCCACCGAAAAGGTTTTCACCAGAACCTAACAACTTGGTATTAAATATTCCACCTCGAGTATTAACAATTTGGCATTCCAATTGCAATTTACTTTGTTGCGATTTCTAAATATTTCTATACTTATTTTTATGAAAGAAACAAATTTACCTAGGTCCTGTGGTGTGAAGTATTTGACGCCTCAACCGGGGCAGGTGGTCTCTCAAAAATGAACGGGTGTGATCAAAACATGCAATCTTCTTTATCCGATGGCTTCCTTCAACCAATCACTGTGTCTGATATGAATGTACTCGTTAAGACGCCAATCAGCGTCTTTGTTACTTCGTATGTATGCATCTACGTATGAAGCAACATGTGAATAATTTAGTTTGGTATTTCACGAATAACTGCGTGAGGTATTGGAATGTCCATAACTTTCTGATGAATTTTTCGCAGTCACATGTTTTGTACTCATTTTGTGCCAAGCTAGGTATGTTGCTGGGCAGAAGCACTATATTCAGTAATAAGTTACCCCACATAGGTACTAACAGACAGTATTGCATTGTGGGTAATGGGTCAAAGGACAGGACAAAATCGTCTCACGGTCTCACGGCGTAACCATGGGCAACCAGATGGTCAAGCAGATTTACAGAGGGAAGAATGTATTATGATTTAGGTACTGTTAAGAAATTCTATTGTTTGAAAAGTCATAATTCGTTACAAGAGAGAAATGAATTTATTTTCCACACCCGATCCATGAGAGGCTGGCCTTAACAAGAGTTGGACTAAAAAAATGTTTTTAATGTTCAACACTGATGGGAGAAAATATGCTTAGTTTGTTTGTAGTTGTTGTGACTTCCAAGGAAAATAGATACAAATTTGGTTGATGGATCGAAGCTAGTCTACAGTTACAGTTAAATATAGCATTTCTGCCTAGCAACATTCATAGTGCAAAACACAGAACATGTGACTATGAAACTATTTAATCAGAAAGTTATAGGCATTCCAATACCTCGCCCAGTTCGTCGTGAAATACCTGACTAAATTATGCATACATGGCTAGTGACGATGCAGTTTTAAGTAACGAAATTGCTGATTGGATGTCTGAAGGATGGGGTGGATCGTACTCACCGAGTATATCAATAACAAGCAAAGTGGTTGGGTGAACCAAACTATCGAACAAAGAAGATTGCATTTTCAGACCGCACCCGTACATTTTTGAGAGAAGACGCGCCCGGGTTGGAGCAGAACTGAGTTGTGGTGTCACAGGAACTAAGTAAGTTTTCAGCTTCTATTATAAATGTTTTGCAAACACTACTGAAAAATTTAGATATTATTACAACAAATTGCTGTTTCTTGGGATGCAAATTGTTAAAACTCGAGTTGAAATATTATCAAGTTATTAACTTGTTTTGAAAACCTTTCCGATGGCCCCGTTAAATACAATATTTGCAGGAATACATCAGTTTTGCACATCTAAATTTGTCAAAAGCATAATCCGTAATTTTAAAAGGATGTAGACTTGATTCTATGACTCACCCTTAATTCTATCGCTTGGGAAAAATTGTGCAGACCTAGGCTACAGTTTTCACATGTTTAACTGGAAAGATGGGGTCATATTGTTTTTGGAGGAGAAACATATACTTAGATATGAAAATCGTTAACCATATCAGGGAATCTATGTATATACGTGTTGGAGTGCAGACAACTAGAACATTCTGCGTATTGTTGCCAGGTTGGTTTTGGAATTTCCTCACACATCTCACGTATGCGAAATTCTGCGTGATTCTCACGCATATCACCATCTGGGCAGTTATTGCTATTTTTAATGGAAATTCTTGAGTAATCAATTAAACATATTCAGTGTTTACCACAAGGCAATCACATAGCCGTACGACGTCTGGTAACGAGTCAACACCCTCCGCTTCGTAAAATTCTCAGCGAGGACACGTTTTGCAACTTACACTGAAGCAAATCACCCTTTATTCCTCCATACACTTCCTTTTTCGAGGAAGTACCACGCTAAAAGCTTCTTACCAAGGACAACATCGATTCTCGGTTGACCCCATCAACCTTGTTCACACGGAATGGACCCGTATACTCTTGGAACGTGACGTCAGAGACACGTGACCGCAGTAGCGAGTCATACGTGCCAGATAACTTGTGTGAACAGAGACGGGGGTGACACAAGTTATCTGGCACGTATGACTCGCTACTACGGTCACGTGTCTCCTGACGTCACGTTCCAAGAGTAGACGAGTCCATTCCGTGTGAACAAGGTTGATGGAGTCAACCAAAAATTTGGGTTAAGTCCCAATATTTTTTAGTTAGTGTTGGAAGTTAAAGCTTAGTCTTTATTTGATAATTTAAGTAGTGTTGTTCTTCTGTAGTTGGTGACTTGATCCACCATGGACAGTAGGCGTGGCTTCCGCCGGTGGACCGTCAGTCTGACAGTGGTTCTTACCGTCTTTGTGGTGACAGTCGACCCATCAGTATCAGGTACAAAAATGTGTATTTTGTAGAAATGTAGGAAATAGTGGAATAGATTAACTATCATAGACATTGCCGATCATAGATTGCCAAGCAAGTATAAAATTCCATAATGAAGACAACGAACATTAAAAAACAATGAATCCTTTTAGTTGTTTAATCTTTTTTTTTTTTCATTTTAACAAAAATGTGCCTTTTGTTGCTGGCAGACACCACCGAGTCACCGGCGAACCCAACTGTGACGCCAGCGGACGCGACTCAGACGCCTTTGGACGTAACCAGCTCCCCGGAACCGACTCAGCTATCGACAGCCTCAGGAAATGGTATAAGTACAGTAGTTAACATGTAGATACAATCACATTGCCTACACATGTATTCATGATTTATCACTGATTCCCAAGTCATGCCATCTAGCCAACTGTCCTTCTAAGGGTAAATTTCCTTTTTCAGTATTATTTTCATTTACAAGTTTTCCTAATTTTACTAATATACTGCAAAGTAAATTTGCCCGTATATATATGTCCTTTATCATCTGTCCTTAGACTGTCTGATAGGAGATGGAGCATCTTACCGAGGAACGGTATCTCTGACTGAGACAGGCAGGACCTGTCAACACTGGGACAGTCAAGCACCGCATGAACACGAATATACACCCGCTGATTATCCGTCATCTGGATTGGAGCAGAACTACTGCCGGAATCCGGATAATGATCCTACAGTTTGGTGCTACACCACGGATCCTGGCGAAAGATGGGAGTATTGCGATGTCCCAGCTTGTGCCAGTAAGTTCTGGCCATGTTACCCTAAATTTTATAAGAGGGAGTATTATATCGATGCTTTTACACTGTACATAACACGTTGCCCACATGACGTATTTGACTGAGTTTGAAACTACAATACTGGCAAATATATTGAAAAAAAGTTTTGAAAGAATTGATTGGCAAATGCAGCCAACAAAGCACTCAAACAGATTCAAATCATCTTTACTTTACTTTAACAGCAGACCCAACCCCGCCGCCAACAGATCCCACCCAGCAGTCAACAGGTCCAACCCAACATCCAACAGGTCCCACCCAGCAACCAACAGACACGACCCAGCCTCCAACAGACCCGACCGAGCCCCCAACAGACCCGACCCAGCCACCAACAGACCCGACCCAGCCACCAACAGACCCGACCCAGCCACCAACAGACCAGACCCAGCCCCCTACAGATCCGACCCAGCCACCAACAGGTCCAACACAGCCCTCAACAGATTCGACCCAGCCTCCAACAGACCCAACCCAGCCACCAACAGGTCCAACCCAGCCCTCAACAGATCCGACCCAGCCTCCAACAGATCCGACCCAGCCTCCAACAGATCCGACCCAGCCTCCAACAGATCCGACCCAGCCTCCAACAGGTCCAACCCAGCCTCCACCTGACCCGACCCAGCCGCCATCAGGTCCAACCCAACAACCAACAGGTCCGACCCAGCCGCCAACAGAACCAACCAAACAAACAACAGACCCGACCCAGCCTCCAACAGATCCGACCCAGCCTCCAACTGACCCGACCCAGTCGCCAACAGATCCGACCCGGCCGCCAACAGATCCGACTCAGCCACCGGCAGACCCGACCCAGCCACCAACAGATCCGACCCAACCCCCAACAGATCCGACCCAGCCACCAACAGATCCGACCCAGCCACCAACAGACCCGACCCGGACTCCAACAGATCCGACCCAGCCGCCAACATATCCGACTCAGCCAACAACAGACCCGACCCAAGCACCAACAGACCCGAGCCAGCTGCCAACAGATCCAACGCAGCTATCCGCAGTTACAGGTACAGGTTTAGCTGAAGGTCCATGTCCTACAAAAGATTGTCAGTCATTTGTAAGTTATGCATGTCGCCAACTACGATTTACTTATGGTAATTTTTCCTTATTAAAACGGTTTATCTAATTTGCAAGTGAAATTCACATTTTGTATTTGGCCTTGAATATAACATTAATTATCCATCTATTCCATCTGCCTTAGACTGTCTGATAGGAGATGCAGCATCTTACCGAGGAACGGTATCTCTGACTGAGACAGGCAGGACATGTCAACACTGGGGCAGTCAAACACCACATGTACACGACAGAACACCCGCTAATTATCCGTCATCTGGATTGGAGCAGAACTACTGCCGGAATCCGGATAATGATCTCAAAGTTTGGTGCTACACCACGGATCCCGAACAGAGATGGGAGTATTGTGACGTACCAGTTTGTCCCGGTAAGATCTGGCAGTGTTAGCGTGAAGAACAGAGTATTTGTATAGATACCTTTATTACACATAAAAAGTTGCGTAGTCATCGTGTAATTCAGGCTCTGTAATTGGTAAATTAATAGTAATTTTCCATTCGAAATACAATCCTAGTACTATTTATGAAAGGTTTTAAAAGGCGGGGATTTGCAAATGCAGCCCAGGAAAGCATCCAGACATGTACAGATTGAACCAGAAACGTTTACCTACTAACAGTTTAGATTACTTTTACTTCACTTTGCTTCACTTTACTTGGAATTTTTTTTTTTTTACATTTAATTTGCTTCTTGCAAAATAAATTCACAAAGGTGTTGGTTGGCTGGAAAATATTCCTGCTTGGGCAATCGACGCAACACCGACAAACTGGCCTGACACATCTGGCCCAGACAAGGTTCTTGACAATGACCTCAATACCGTCTGGAGCCCGAGCAGTCCAGTCCCATGGTACATCATCTTCGACTTTCTAGCGCCCTATACTCTTTCTATGATCGGTATCTCTAACTTCGGAGACATCACTCATGACATCACGGCTTTCAAGTTTCAAACATCGGTCAGTAATGATCCTTACAGCTGGACTGACGTCCTGGATTTCAACGAATCCTCCGAAGCCTTGCCTCAGGTGTTCGCAATTGGTGGTTTCACAGCTACTAGTCGTTACTGGCGTCTGTTCATCACGGCAACTGGCCCGGGCAACTCACCACCCTGGCTAAGCGACATGGGCTTTTATGGAATCATGGAAGCAGGTTAGTTTCCTGTTTTTGAATGAGCCTTTCATTGAGTTCTAAACAGTTCATGACATGTCGACAACTCTTTCCAATGAGAAATGGTAGATGAAAATAGATCTCAATATAAATGTCCAATGAACAAGTGTATACAGGAACTGGTGATAAAACATAAAGCATAATGAGCATCAATGTATCCAAGCACATATGTGTTTGTTTTTATTACTTTAGCTTGAAGTAGCAATCAAGGAAGAATACTGCTACTTGAACATCAGGTCCCCTATGTAAAAACAGTTTGTACTTTCATACGTATAGATATCCCTACATATTGCTCTGGCACGTTATTCTGACCCCTGCACATTGTCAAAAGGTCGTCCAATCTTCATACATATACATACATACATACATACATACATATCTAGAAGGATTTCAGTGTGAGGAGAATGAACGCCAGTGCTCAAATGGGTTGTGCATCCCGGCATCTTCGTGGTGTGACAGCCGTTACAGCGACTGCCATTGACCAGATTCCGAAGACGAAGCGGACTGTGGTGACAGCGGTGATTATGACTTTATGCATCGTTCTCAGGTCCTGGTAGCCTGGGCGCCATACTGGGCTCCCTAGCCACTGACATTAGGGGTCTGGCCGAGTATGGCACCAAGAGCCTAAGGCCCGGGGTCTGGATAACCAACTCGAAACGATAACGATGTATATTTGAACTGATTTTGAACCTCAAAATCTTTCTGCCGCCAACAGACCCGACCCAGCCTCCAACAGATCCGATCGAGCCACTAACAGATATGACCCAGCTGCCAACAGACTCGGGTAGGGTCAATCTTTCGTGAGTCTATGCATAATTTTTCCTTTTCCGAAGAAAGGTTTTCCTAATTTGCAAGTGCATTGTATACTTTGATTGTATTTTGTCTTGAATATAGTACTAACTATCTTTTTTTTTATCTGGCCTTAGACTGTCTAATAGGAGATGGAGCATCTTACCGAGGAACGACCTCTCTGACTGAGACAGGAAGGACCTGTCAACACTGGGACAGTCAGACACCACATGAACACTACTATATACCCGCTAATCATCCGTCGTCTGGATTGGAGCAGAACTACTGCCGGAATCCGGATGATGATCCCACAGTTTGGTGCTACACCATGGATCCGGACCAGAGATGGGAGTATTGTGACGTGACAGCTTGCCCCGGTAAGATGTGGCCCTAGCCCTGTTAGTCTAAATTTAAAGCTGCATTTTACAGTGTCTGAGGCCTTTTTGGATGTTTAGAAAATGAGAGGTTTGTTTACAGTTAGACCCTAATATTTTGAAGATTACTACCTTGTTGTAAAATGATAATTTTTGCAAATTATTGTGACATCATCACTAATTGATGGGCCACGCCCATTTTGTTTTAGAGAAATAGTTTTTTTGAGCCATCGTACGCGCGCGTTCCGTTTTGAATCTAAAATATTTGGCATAAAGGTGCACAATAATAATACTAACAAGCGTTCATCAGCATTATTTCGTTTTCTTAACCGTTGATTTTTCAAATACGGAGTTCTCCATAGATGCTGTTAATTAATACACATAAAACATTGCGCCGTCATTGCGTAATGGCGAAGTATGTGACAATGTCTGGGTGATGTCTTAACTACAATAATAGCAATAATTATGCAATAACACAGCCGGGCAAAGTATAAATTAAATTGAAATCACCTTTCCTTTTTTACCAACAGACCCGACCCAGCCGCCAACCGACCCGACCCATCCGCCAATAGAACCCACCCACACGATGACTAACCCTGGTTGTATTTCTACTTGTCTTACACAAATTATTCTTTACCATTGTCAGTAATAGGAAGGTCCTGTGTTTTTTATTTGACATCATCTTTATTGAATTGACAAAACATCACCTTTATTGAATTGACAAAAGAATTAAAGCAATACACAAGATGAAGTGTTAAAAACACCTCGGTCGGCCCCTTAAGACAAAAGTACAGATCAACATTGATTTGCTGTGCTGTGCATCAGCCATCAAAATATATATTCTATTTGCATGTCATTTTGTATTTTATTATAGTAAAAAATAGAGAGAGAGAAGATTGTACTGTTGATTGATGCATTGTGGTTTTTGGGACAAGCTTATTGCCTGCTTTTGTATTAATCACACAACTATAGGCTGTTCTCCGGGTGATGCCGTATGTCCGGATGGAAGCTGTTTTCCCGTGGAAGGTGTCTGTGACTCCGTTCCGGATTGCTCTGATGCAAGCGATGAAATTTACTGCTCGCTGATTTGTACGTGTTAAATATTCTATTCCATAAAAATGATAATAAAACAAAACATTTTGCCGTTAGGTATCATAACAGGACTGTACGTTGTACATGCTTTATGTCGTTATTCACAACAAAATGAAGATAAAAATATTATTCAACTTTCTTTAACCTAGGCCTGCTCTTCTACTAGGTGGTTTTAGATCGTACTTAAGGTTAGGTGTTAGGTTAGGTGCCACGATTACCAAAACCAATTGGGGCAAGATTCCAGGACCTCTCTGCTAGTGTACTCGGATTTCTTGAAGTTTTTATAAGCTATAAAAAGTGGGAAAAGCTTTGTTATCGGCCATATTATTAAAGCGCAAGAATGTTTTACTGATAGTGTACAGTCTTTATGCTGAATATATTTTGTTGTTGTTGAATATGAGCAAAAACGAAAATATCAATTTATCTACTTAAAGCAAGTGTGCCACCAAATGCTCTCCTGCAATTTACTTTAAAAAAGGATGTCCGAATAGCGATCGTTTAATGCATATTTTTTTTAAGATTTTTAACGGCGAATTATAATTTATTTCTTCACATTTCCTTGCTTCTCAATTTCAGCATTCTATGACATTAGTATCGTTTTCCAATACTTATTTATTGCAACATACGTTGTCGACGTTTCAGCCGGTGAGCCTTGTTCTGGGAGCCAGCTGAGGTGCCTAGATGGGTCGTGTGTCGAGAAGAGCACAGGAGTTTGTGATGGAGTGAACGACTGTCCGGACGGTTTGGACGAGGAAATATGCTGGAGTCCTCCCGATGAGGGTGAGCCTTGTCCAGAGGATTCTTTTTACGTGGTTTTTGGGATAAATCAAACTAAACCGTTTTCAGATACGGGCATCGGTACAGTGGCTAAGGCGCAGGCACTATAAATTTCATCAACCATTTGTAAGTTACTCATTTATTCAACTGCCCTTTATACAAGTGGCACATTGTGACCTGCCAAATTGTCCGGGTAAGATTTGGCCTTGTAAGGCTGAAGAAGTGTGTGGAGGTTGCACACATCGTATAATTGGCTGAAGAAGTGAGTAGTGATTGTACACATCGTATAATAGGCTGTAATAAGTGTAATAAGTGATAATAACTTTCCTAGCACTATTCATGAAAAGTTGTAGAAGACGTAGATTGGCAAATACATTCCAGTAAAGCATCCGGACAGATTACAATCCTCAACGATACTTTTAAATTACTTTACTATACTTTAATTACTTACTTTAAATAGTTAACTTCGCTATAATTGTGAAAGGTTATGATGCAAAGAAATAACATTTACATTCCATTTGCTTCTTGCGCAAATTTCACAAAGGTGGCTGGCTGGAACGTTCTCCTGATTGGGCAATCGACGCAACACCGACAAACTGGCCTGAAGCGAATGGCCCAGACAAGGTTCTGGACAATGACCTCAATACCGTCTGGGCCCCGAGCAGTCCAGTTCCATGGTACATCATCTTCGACTTTCTAGCGCCCTATACTATTTCTATGATCGGTATCTCTAACTACGGAGATATCACCCATGA